ATATATATTTATATAAAGATTTTGTATCTACATAAAGATTTTGTATCTACATATTTTGTAGATTTATATATATATATATTTTATATATATATATATATATATATATATATATATATATATAAAGACTTTGTATGACATCACATGGTGCTATAACTAGCTGGTATTTCATTATTCCTTTTTCAGAAAAAAAGACCCTTGAGTTTTAGAAAATAATCAAACATATTCACACACTGGAGAAGGTACGGAGATTAAAGATACCATAGACGTTCAAATTAAAATTTATAGGGAGCAGATTTTTCTACTGAAACACTACTCCGGTGAGAAAATCTTTTACATAATCTTTCTAAAAATCTTCATCAACTCCCCAGATGTGTGAGATACAATTTAGGGAATGTTTTTTCACAGTTGTCAACTCTCTCCTATGAATGACACGCAACATTAAAAAATTCCTTTCTGACTCGATCAATATGCATATCCAAGTATTTTCCCCCATCTTTTTCTCTCAAAGGATTATTATAATGACTTCCCTTGCCTGAGGGAAATAAACCGCTTCAGGTCCCCTGCAGACGCAGAGCCGCGCCACCAGGGGGCGCCCGTCCTCCATCACTTCATAATCAGACCTGTCACCCTAACGAGCAACAGCCCGCCGTGTTTTCCCAGGAGGCGGAAATATAACCTCATGCTTGTCACAGCTAAAAAATGAAACGCAGAATTTACACAGAATTCTCAAAATGTTCTATCTCCATTGTCAGTAACCCGCAGCAGATCTTTTACTTTATTTTTTCTTTCAATAATTCACCTATGAAAAATACAGCAGCAAATCAGGTAGGGTCTCTCTTATCCATCAATCAAGTGGCAATTTTCGCAATGTATGTTACCATAGCACCCGCAGCCTGAGATGCTCTGCTACTTCTGTGTTGTTAGTGTTGGCTCACCATTCCAGGTAAGCAAATCAGGATTTCTCCAGGGGATTCTAGAAGAATGCGAGGGAGTGTGCAGGGGGGAAACCCACGTCATTATCACCATGATGGGTTGACAGCGCAGAACCCACAAAGGACTCCACCCCCTCACTCTGAAGACGAAGAAACAGTTTCTAAAATAGCAGAGTATTGTGTGAACCCAGCTTGAGAACAGAACCCACCTCGAAAAGTTTTAGCTCAATAAAGCCTGACATCCAATGACGGGCTTCACCCTGACAGCACCTTGGAATTTCTCCCTAATTAATTTCTCAAACGCCCCTTCAGCAACGCCTCAGTTTTATCCTCTAACAGAAAAACGAAGAGAGATCTCAGGCAAAGTGTCTTTCCTTCATTACCTAAAACAGAAGCAGAACTTAACAATAGGAGGAGGCTCTTCTCTCCTCTAGTTTTGTGGTTAAAACATCTGTCCTTCACCTTCAGCGACAGCCTCAGTCAAAGACATTGTACAGCCATGGACATGCATTCTCAGATATTTCATTTTTTAAAAGTAAGCTACCGGCTTGCCAAGGGTCATAGCAGCAGATGACCAAAATGTAGACATTTAAACACTCCCATGTAGGACACGGGTAAGTAATATAAGCCTCATGAAGAAATGATGCAATAAGGTTGCATCTAATAACTGACCCAAATTTTAAATAACTCCTGATTATTTAAAGGAATTTCGTCTGCTCTGAACCCTCTAACTGGCTCCCTGATCCCAAGGACTGAGATGTACTTTTTTGGCTGGATAACAGGAATTCTAAGCATCAGTATATATCTAATAAAAGCCTAGATGACGGGAAGACCTGGCGTCCTGTAATCCCAGTCTCTAAAAGATTGCAAAAAAAGCCATAATCACACCACTGGTTTGTCACTACGGAGAAGCACCTTGAACAAAATTGACCCTCACCTGGACAGGATCTGCCGGCGAGCCTTTTGCAGTCATGTGCTCATTGAGTACTTTTTTGAGATGATTTTTAGAGGGAATCTCTTTCTTTCTGGAAGCTTCTGAATTGGCTATATTTCCATTAGTAGGGAGACCATTATTAAAGGAAGTTGAAGGAAACTGTCTATTCCTTCAACTCTTGATGATAAATGATGATATTTTTCAGCATACAGAATGGCAATAAAATCATTTATTAATTTTTTTAAAAAAGAGGAATTACTGGAGGCAAGATGAAGACCAACCTACTTGGTGAACTCCTTTTAGTGAACTTGGGTTTAGTGATTGCCATTTACTCATTTCATTGAGGGGGGAGTCCAGCAGATGTGTTGTTCTGTGTGAGCTGAAACGTGGCTATGAGCCTGCTTCCCAGGGGGCCTCAGGTCATGTGCAGCCAACCGGGGAACTAGGAAAAATACTCCCATTTCTCGACTAGACTTAGTCTCATTCTGAGTACAGAAGACGCTTCCTTCTCAATGCGTAAAAGGTGTGTGAGATGACTCAATACTTACTCCAAATACACCTGAAGGGTGAGTTCTTTGGATCTTCATGTCTATCTGTAAGAGGTGAACCTTCAAAGATCGTGTGACAATGTTTGGGAACAAATGTTTTATATGTAAAAGTCTTACTAGTTTCCCTACACATGTGAGGCCACTGGGCTCCTGGGCAGGGTTTCACCAGTGGCCCCGGCAGCTCACTTCCTCCCAGAAGGAGATGTTCCGGGGACCCTGGTGTCTGGGACCCTCATCAGTAGTGACATGGCAGTAAGCGATTCCCACCTGCAGAAATCTCTCCTGTTCACGTCCAGCAGCAAAACTCAAGGGACCTCTGTGACCCAAGGTGGATAAAGGATGGCTGCTAGTGGTAAGACACAGGAGAATTCTTCCAGGAAGCCTGGGAGAATTCTTCACAGCTTAGAAGAGAGGATCAGTCTGAAAATTAGTACCATTTTTTTTGTCAAAATTTTTCACAGCGCTCAGGGACCAAATGCCTTCATAATTTATTCTGCACATTTTTGACAAGTAAGAAAAAGAACATAGGCCCAGCTGACAGTGGGGAAAGAAGAGTCAGATTCCCAAATATTCAGTGATGAGATTCTCCCAGAAAGCTTCTAATTTTGGTGGCATTTTCCCCTGGATCCGACAAATGACAAATCTCTCCTCTTCTCCTATTTGTTTTCCTTAATGATGTAGATGAAAAAATCTGACTTTGAAAGACTCAAAGACAATTAAGAATATAAGATAGACTTTCTGCACATGTGCGAAAAGAGATTAATTTCCATGTTTAGCTTTCGGACGGCCTTGAAAGTGTATAGGGAAGGCGATGAACGTTCAAACCTGTATTTCAGGTTCAAACATACAGATAAGAGACCAGGAAGCAGGAGGAGATAGACAGACGCCTCTCCCTTCATCTGAGGTTCTTTTCTGCTCTGAGAATCTAGTGAAGCTGTTGACCTTCTCTAGGAAAAAAGCTACATGCATGAGAATGAACAAGAATACAACCTTTACATAAAATTCCAGAAGTTTCTCAGAAGTCCTAAAATCACAGACACCTCATTGGTCCTTAAGTCAAGAGATGAAGACCTTATCTTGATGACCATTTATTGAAGTTTTGTGTGGAAGACAAATAAATGAATAGCTTGTGACTGGTGAATTCTGGCTCAGATTCAAAGGAAGAAGGTGTTAATATCTTCCTTCCTTCCTTCCTTCCCTCTTCCTTCCTTTTATCTCTCTCTTCTCTCTCTCTCTCTGTCTTCCCAGTAGAGAGGAACCATATGAAAAATGATCTCAGCATCAAATCAGTGGAATAACAAAAATAATTGGTAAATCACTTTGCATTCCACAAATCGCTTCCTTACGTACAATGGCTATTGCCTATGGATGACGTATCTCGTGCAGCTTCTCTATCTGTATTCCTCACTGCAGACATGCCTGAGGGGTATCGCTATCACTAATGTACTAATGAGGAGATGGCGGCTCGGAGAGAATGCATTAATAGAAATAGGAGGAAAGCCCATGTCTCTTAACCTTCATCCACATATCCTTCCCATAAGTTTGGGCAGCACAAAAGTCATCCAGTGTGCAGGCAGGCGTTTAGGGGAGAGCTTTGCTGGACAGTCTCTTGATAGCACATCACTTAGAACAGGATGGGTTATGGATAGGCATGGAAATAAGTGCTCTAGAAAGAATCTGATAAATTCTCATGTTGAACATCTCAATATGTCACTCTGCTTAGAAGGGTCTCACAAAGTTTATTATAAGAAGAGGGGTTTTCATGTTTCTTCGTACATATGATGGTGTCTTATCCTTAAAACTTGAAAACTAAACATGCTACAACTCAAGCCATCCAGTTACAAGGACCCGTAGCACATTTTTACTGAGACAGCGTGAAGCAACAACTCTGCTTATCACATTTCTGCAGCAAAGGGGATCGTTCTCACTTGTCTACTCAGCATTTATTTTTAAAAAGCAATCTACTCTTATCCTTTGCGTCTTATTCTACGTCTAAATTGTGTAACACTTATAAATACCCAGAAATTGCATGCTGCTACTGGTGTTTTGCCCACCCTGAGTCATTTGGTGAAAGAGGTAAACAATTTAACCGGACTCTAATACACATACACACACACGAGTAACTTCAACGGGCATTTCTTCATACTCTCGACACTTATTTAAGATAAAGTAACATAACACTTCTCAGAAAATAGATTTGGGACCTAAACTTGTTACCAATTTGAAGAAGAAACATAACTTTACCGCCTTATCACGTCATCTGTTCTTAGGTTAATACAAAGATAAGGCAGGTAGAACCCAACCGACTCTAAGTCAAATTTAAGCAAATCCAAAGATTGCTGATGTTTTTCCATTTTATCCTTTTACAGACTTAATGATGGTGGTCATAGGTAGACGACACATCACGTGGCATCTCCAAATCAGTTTCGGGGTCTCTTCAGGGCTTCTGTGAAGGAAAGCATGGAATAGTCCCAGCCGAATCTTCAGGGTTACATAGGTGGAAGGAAACCCCCAACCAAACAAACACCACATAAGGAGCAGCTCCACCACGAGAGGCTGGGTGCCAACACCTGCCCCACACTGTACCTGTACAGATGAAACTGGAGAGTCCCCCGTAGATAACTTCATCATTGTCGGGCAATATGAACGGACACCTCGTCTGAACCTCCAAACAGTATTGCTTGCAAGGAATTGTCTTTCTGCAGTTCAGCTGTGCGACTTCAAAATACTGGGAACACAGCCAGGCTTTGTAGACAATCTGAAAAAAGAGAAGAATCAAAAATAGGGCGGGATGACAACAGTTCTGACTGATAAAGGACATGCTGTACTGTGAGAAACATGCTAGGGCTTCAGGCGGATCATAAGAAAACTCACACTTGGAGACAGCGTATTCACACAAGGCCAGCTGCAAGCGATGTCTTGGCAACAGAGCAAAACATTTTTTGATTGAGCCCTTAAGAGGATGCAAAAGGTAATGTGGCATTTGAGGGGATGTAACTCATGTGAAAAACAGTGGAGTTAAGCAGGGCCTGAAGTTTTTAAAATCCAATGATATACAAGAAAGGAAATAACTGTGGACCCACCGTGGTTATTTACTGCAGGGTGCGAGAGCCCTGCAGACACCGGCTATTCCCCCCAAGGGCACTAGATGGCGCTGATTCCCCTACAAAGATGCCCCCGCGGGCTGTGCAGAGGCGGCTGGTTAGAGCTTGAACTCCAGGGCACAGAACAAGCAGCGGCGGGCATTTAAATTCATGACTCACATCAAATGCATTAAATATCTCAACGTCCGAAAGCCGGGAAACACCCAACCTAAATCAGACACTTTATGTCGTGGTGTGGTGAGGAGAACGAAGAAGGAAACCTCATCAGAGCCGCAACTTGGACCTTTAGATACTGTGATCCACATCGATATTCGATAAGTATTTGCTTAATTTAATAAAATGTGAAAGGACTATGAATTCACCTAGCTCTGTTTTTGATAGGTATTTAGGAAAGTAGATATTGAAAAAATGCCTTTTTCTAATATAAGGGAACAAGTTGAAACTAGGCCCAAATAAAACCATGGCAAGGTATCCACCATACAGATGGCTGTGACTCAGGTATTTCCCAGACCCTGGGCGCTGATGTCTTCTTTTTACCTGATTCTAAGGTTAATACTAGCCTGGTAAGATTCTGTCGCCTATGTTCTACCTGGAAAGGTGGATGGTGTACCGTTAAATGTACACTAAGAGGTCATAAACACCCGACAATAATAGCAAGAGTAATAGCGAGTATTTACCAATTTCACTCTGTTCTAAGCAAGGTACATACATTCTTTTCCCATGTAATTCTTAGCACACACATAGAAGGTAACTATCGGTCACACTTTGCACACAGATAATAATTAGCAATGGAAGTGAGTGGACAGCCTAGAATCCAAGCAGAATCTAGATAATCTTGTCAGCATACTGTGAGGAGAATTCTTGTGTCAGGAAAGGGAGAGAAATAAACAGCTCTGAGATACGTCCCAATGCCTCCCTTTTATTTTTGAGGGAGGGGGGTTGAGAAAGTTAGATGTTTTGTGGTGGCACAAAACCAAAGAAACAAGATGATTAACTTTTAAAAGGCCTAAAGGATTTTCAGGGAAAAGCACTGATGACAAATGAGTACACTTGTCTTCTTTCAGAAGAACTCCGTAGTATAAGGAAGACCAGAAATCTTTTTTATAATGGCTTAGCCTTCTCCTATGGAGAGACGTACGAAGTCATCGCTTTTCTAGGTGTCACTGAATTGTATAAATGATTATCTGATGCTAAACAATAATTTTGGGAAGGAACAAAAACAGGTTTAAGGTCTCTGATGATAAATGACTGTTTCAACTACGTTTACCTCCATTTTTCCTGGAGGGCTTGTACTTTCCTCTCTCTGTGGAAGTTATGTTTTCCAGGTAATTATGCCCATGAAGGACGTCTCACCCCACCCCCGCTCTGCTGCTGCCCCTTGGAAATCACTGCTGACAGTACAACAAATTGTTTGACAGCTGCCCATCCTACGGTCAATAGAAAATACTCGCAAGCTACAGTCTAGAAAAGGAACAGACTAGACTATTAAAACGGCCTAAAAAAGAATGACATTTTCTCTTAATAGCTGGATAACAATTTTCTCTTTTTCTCCCAGAGCGTTTTCTCATTTCTTATTTTTCCCCCTGAAACCCTTGAGATGGGTTTGGGAAATATTTTACAAATAAAGAACCTGAGTTAGAGAGAGATTATAGTAGCAAATGGACAGAATTCAGGCCAGCACTTCCTTCACTGGGCCCTGGGGTAGCTGGACCTCTTCTGAGAGGAAGCGGAAAGTGATGACAACATGACAAAAGGTGGGTCTCTGGAATCCTCGAGGGGAGGGTGGCAGTTCAGAGGGGAAAGGTCCTAGGGGTCATCTAGCTAAGCCTCTCAAGTGAGAACTGGAGCCTAGGAAGACCACAGTTGATGGCAACCTCAAATCCCTGGCTTCCTGGATGTTGTTTTAATAACACAGCACATTACTGGGAAGGCATCAACTGAATCATTCTTAACGTACCTTTATTCTTTTCTTTTCTTTTCTTTTTTTTTTTTTTGCGGTACGTGGGCCTCTCACTGTTGTGGCCTCTCCCGCTGTGGAGCACAGGCTCCGGACGCGCAGGCTCAGCGGCCATGGCTCACGGGCCCAGCCGCTCCACGGCATGTGGGATCTTCCCGGACCGGGGCACGAACCCGTGTCCCCTGCATCGGCAGGCGGACTCCCAACCACTGCGCCACCAGGGAAGTCCGTCTTTTTTTTTCTTTTTTACAAGTCACTTCACCCCAGATCTGCACTTTCCAAACCTTCCCTTGAAATTCTGCGCAGTGGCTGTAATAATCACACCCCAGCCCGGGGCTGATTTCTGGGTCTTCTCTGCACCAACATCACTTTACAAATCCCCTCGGTTTCGCGGGCCTAATTGAAGGTGTGAGGAGAGGAGGGGAGATCCCAGGGAGCTGTGTTCTGGTCTACTGAACTCATTTCCAGATTCCCGATGAAGACTAGTTTTTTTATTTTTTAAGATAATTCTCAGTTTTCAGGAAAGTTCTGGTTGTAATGGTACAAGCATGGTTGAGAGGAAAATCCCAGGAGACAGACTGAGCGAGGGGTCTCTGTTCCCTGATTACGGGAAGTGATGTTAAGCTATGGGACTCTAGGAGGGGGATGCTTTATGTGGCTAGAAATATTGTTCATTACGGGTTATACCCAGTGCCCTGAATAATCATGGTTTTCAGGCTCCTCTTTACAAGTGACGTCATCGTGCACCAGCGTGACGTCAGCATGCACCAGTGTGACGTCAGCACGCACCGGGTCTCACGACCTCTCTTGGTCTGGGTGTTCCACATGACCACGGCTCACCTCCCGTAGAGCCTTTCACAAAATGCCCCAGATTCGTATTTTTCCCATAGGGGCTTGGATTCTCATTTCTTTTAAGTATACTTGCCTCCCTCCCCCAAAATCTATATTCACGTTTTAGAGCAAGGGAACCAATTTATATTGCAAATATATGTTAGCTGGCCGAAAAAATATGTCGGTTACAATTTTTTATTGTTAAGAAAAATGTCAGGTATTGACCATGGTTGTCATCTTCAAATCAGAAGGCCGTTTTCCCTTTTCCCCCAAGAATTACTAAGGGCTAACTCTTCTTACATGTATACCATGTGTTGATGCGTTTTCTGAGGCCCTTCCCTGGCAGCTCTAACGCGTGAGTGGCGTGTGTCTGGAGCACGCGGGGCTGAAATCGCTGGTTACGTAAGCAGTAGTCTGCGGTGGCGACCGCCTCGGGCTAATGCACTTTGATGCGCAAGGCATGTCGTTACAGTTGTGAGTGGGGCAGGAGGTCGGAAGAAATGTTCACACGCGTATATCTGAGCGTCTTTCCTTAGCCCCGTGTCAGTGTCTGGTTAAAGCACGCGCGGCACCCGGAAAATGGAAATACTGACATATTTTAAGAGAGAAGCAAGAAAACAACCCCTGCCTGAGGATGCGCCAGGTCATCTGAGGAAGAATATTCAGAGATGGACAGCGTAAGGAGACAGGCTCCTTGACCCGCCAAATGTCAGCACACCTTGTCCTGCGGGGCCGCATCTTCGCTCCATTTCCTGCGCCGAATGTAAGTACCTTCCTGTTTTCTCCTGGTGACGCTTCGTGGGTCCTGTGATAACACTCGGTCTAACCCCCTGAACTTCAGAACGGCCCTCGCTTCCTAGCACCACCCTATGTTTTTAAGTCCATTCAATCCATTCTCACCACCACCCTGGGCTCAGTCCCTTCAGGAGAGGGAATCCGTCTGAAGAAGGCAGGGCCAGCCCGGCTCCACCTCTAGTCGGGTGTGATACCTGGAGGCCCACAGACGTGATGGCAACGATGACAAAAAGCAAATCAGCTCTTCAAGCTTTCCTGAATAGAGGATGCTACCATCCAACGATGATCTCGGAAACGAAGGAAACCGGGGAAGAATTTGTCAGTGTATCTCCTGCACTGTCCGGGGCACACAGGAAGCCAGCTTCTTCTTTCCCTTCTTCCTCATTAACACAGTAAGTCCCCTACGTACAAATGAGTTGCATCCCGAGAGTGCGTTCATTAAGTCCAATTTGTTCGTAAGTCCAATGAAGTTAGCCTAGGTACCCAACTAACACAATTGGCCATATAGCAGTGTGCTGTAATAGGTTTATAATAATTTTCACACAAGTAATACATGAAAACCAAACAAAAAATAAAGAAAACATTTTTAATCTTACAGTACAGTACCTCGAAAAGTACAGTAGTACCAGCTACGTCACCACTGCTTTTAGGTTTGCTTCCGGACATCCTGGGCTTGAAATAAAGATACTGTACGACTGTACTCTATACAGTGCCGCACAGTAAAGTACACAAAAGCACAACCACTTGTAGAGGATGCACACACGTGACAATGTATGACACGTGAACTAACTTACGTGATTGGACGTGCGAATACGCGTTCCCATCAAGTCTGCAACTTGAAGGCGTGTGTGTAGGGGACTTACTGGACGCCTCCTGCATTGTCTGAGTTAATGACGTCCTTGCTTCATCTTGTTTCCCCTCCTCACCTCACTATGGTTTGGTGTCAGCCTGAACTACTGCACAGAAACTTGTTCTTTCTAAGCAACCTGGCCTCTGTGGTGATAAGCCCAGCTGCTAAAATCAGCTTTTTTCTTATCTGACTTCTTGGCAGTAAGGAGCGCTGCTGCTAAG